AAGAAGAAAAGAAAAGTCATAGTAGTAAGAGCAGCTCTGATGACTTGTCATCAATAAAAGTCACAGATACTTTCATACCACAGTGCAGTGCAGCTTTTGGAAATACCACAAAATACCATTTACATGGGCATCACTACTTTGAAATTACAGGAGTTATTTGCTACTGCACTGAATTTTGTTACTTACTGCATTAATAAAGGAGTACATATACTCATAAATCTGGAGCTTTGTTTTTTAGTTTTTTCATTTTACATTTTTTTTTTTAAGAGACAGGGTCTGACTCTCTCACACAGGCTAGAGTGCAATGGCCTGATCATAGCTCACCTTAGCCTTGACCTCCTGGGCTCAAGTGATCCTTCCTCCTCAGCCTCCCAAGTAGTTGGGACTACAGGTGGTGCTAGCACTGGGGAGTGGATGCAAATACAGGTTAACATTAGCAGAGAGGTTTGACTACACAGAGACCATAGTAAATCAATTGCTTACAGACTCATATCAAAATCCTATCTGTGAGTGTCATGTAACAAGCTGCAGCTGGTGGCAGGCTTCATGGTGGCAACGAGCTGATGTACTTCCATTGTACAGCTGCATCAGGTGGAAGGCTTTAAGTCAGAATCAGACACTTATTTTAGTCCACTCATGGCCTGCCCATTATTTTATTTACCACTTCCAGCTGTGCCTCTTTCCTGCACTGCACACTTGTCTCTGTCAGTTTTGGTAAGCCCACAAGCTAACCCTAGCCAAAATGAGTAAAAAACAAATGTCACTGGTAAGCTTCTTCAAAAAGGGGGAAACACCCAATGGTGAGACAGCAGAAGACTCTAACACTGCCAACAAAAAGAAAGCTGCATTTAAAATAAAATACCAGGAGTCCTACTCAAATTACAGGTTCATTGCAACAGGTGATTCACATTCCCCAAGCCCACTTTGTAGCATATTCAAATGGCTGTTCAATGAAGCCATGAAACCTTCAAAACTGCTTTACCACAGGGAGACCAAGCACCCTGCATTACAAGACAAGCCTTTGGAGTTTTTCAAAAGAAAAAATATGAACACAAAGAACAGAAGCAATTATTGAAGGCTACCATTTCATCAAATCATGTCTGCAAAGAGAGGATCATTCTTAGTGGCTAACTGCACTGCTAAAGCTAAGAAGCCCTTTACTACTGGTGAAGAGTTGGTCCTGCCTACTTTTAAGGACATTTGTTCTGAACTTTTAGGAGAGGCTGCAATTCAAAAGGTGGCAGGCGTTCCTCTCTAGCAGCATAACTAGGTGAATTGATGAAATAGCAGGGGATATTGAGACACTTTTGTTAGAGAGAATTAATGAGTCACCATAGCATGCAATCCAGGTTGACTAGCATATCAATGTTGACACCAAGGCAACAATGCTTGTTTCTGTATGATATGGTTTTCAGGAGGATGTGCATGAGGATATGTTAGGTGCACAAGGATATGTCACTTGCACTTTTGTTGCTAACCAATGCCTCAGCCGCAGAACTATTCAAGTCTTTGAATGATTACATATCAGGATAACTGAATTGGTCATTTTGTGTAGCATATGCATGGGCAGAGTAACCGGTATGACTGGATAGCTTCATGTTTTCACTACTTGGGTCAAAGAGGTCACTTCTGAATGTGAGTCTTTGTGCTGTGCCATCCATAGAGAAGTGACAGCTAGCCAAAAAATGTCACCTGAACTGAATGCTTTGTAGGATATGATTAAAATTATCAACCATATTAAAGTACACGCTCTTAACTCATGTCTATTCATGCATCTCTGTGAGATGGATGTAGAGCACACACATCTTTTCTTATACACAGAAGTGAGATGGCTTTCTAAAGGTAGATCACTGGCCAGAGTTTGAGTTATGAGGTTTCTTTTAGAAAAACCGTTCCAGAGATTTCTTTTAGAAAAATCATCACCACTGGCAGCACATTTCACAGAAGGGGTTGCAAAACTTGCTTACCTCCTCAAGGAACTCCATCTGTCATGTCAGGGGAAAACTGTGCTCAAGTCAGCAGATAAGCGGCTGCACTCAAAACCAAACTGGAATTATTGGGGTGACAAGTGAACATTGGGATTTCTGACATGTTTCAAACATTAGCAGAGATCTTGAAAGATTCTAAGCCAAGACCTTCTTTCTCCCAGCTGGTGCATGATCATCTATCTCAGCTTTCCAAAGCATTTGAGTGGCCAGGTGCGGTGGCTTACGCTTGTAATCCCAGCACTTTGGGAGGCCGAGGCAGGGGGATCACGAGGTCAGGAGCTCGAGACCAGCCTGGCCAACACCGTGAAACTCCATCTCTATTAAAGACACAAAACTTAGCTGGGCATGGTGCCAGGTGCCTATAATCCCAGCTACTCAGAAGGCTGAGGCAGGAGAATCACTTGAACTCAGGAGGCAGAGGTTGCAGTGAGCCGAGACTGTGCCACTGCACTCTAGCCTGGGCAACAGAGCTAGACGCCTTCTCAAAAAAAACACAAAGTTTAGCATTACTTCCCAACCACAAAAGACCCCCGAACTGGGAAGGATCCTAGACCCATTTGTGAATAAGCCAGGTGAATTGACTTTGTCCATGCTAGAAGGGGAACAGCTGCTTGAGATGGTAAATGATGGGGCCTTAGAAGTATGTTTGAGACAACTTCAAATCTCCATACATTCTGAATTAAACTCAAGGTGAAATATCCTGAGATTGCCAAAAAAGCACCCAAAAGCCTGCTTCCATTTCCAAAATCCTATCTTTGTGAAGCAGGGTCTTCTGCAGGGACAGCAACCAAAATGAGACTATGGAGTAGACTGGACATAAGCAAACACTTTGGGTGTCAATGTCTCCCATTCACCCCCAGATGGGACCGTCTAGTGGCAGGAGAAGCAGCTCAGGGGTCCCATGATTCTACCCTATGGGGAGCTGTATAATTACTTCATTATATATTACCATGTAATAATAGAAATAAAATCCACAATAAGTGTAATGCAGGTGGGGCATGGTGACTCACACCTGTAATCCCAGCACTTTGGGAGGCCGGGGGGGGGGATGACTTGAGCTCAGGAGTTTGAGCTCAAGGGTTCGAGACCAGCCTGGCCGACATGGTGAAACCCCATCTCTATTAAAAATACAAAAATTAGTGGTGTCGCATGCCTGTAGTCTCAGCTACTGGGGAGGCTGAGGCACAAACATTACTTGATCCCAGGAGGCGGAGGTTGCAGTAAATCAGTATCATGCCACTGCAGTCCAGCTTGGGCAACAGAGCAAGCCTCTGTTTCAAAATAAATAAATGTAATGCACTTGAATTATACCAAAAACCATCCAACCTCCCCTGGTCCAGGAAAAAAAATTGTCTTCCATGAAACCGGTCCTTGGTGCCAAAAAGGTTGGGGACCACTGCTTTAGGGAACACTTCCCCCTGGGCCAGGCCCTGAGCTGGAAGCAGGGCATGGGGGTAAGGTCCATGCTCGCAAGTTCTTGATGCTACCTACAGAGCTCCCACCAACATCTGGCCACCCACAGAAATGTCTGCTTTCTCCAAAGACTTCACCTTCACCCTAAGTTGATCCATCTAACCTACTTCCAAGGAGAGGGGAAAGTAAACAGTAGATAAAGCACAGGCATTGATCCAAAAGAGGAGTTCAAAACCCAGCCCTGACATGTACTAGTTTGTGGCATTGGCCTCCCTCCAAGGCTCTCTCTATCCCACTGTGAAAAGCGATAACACCACCTATCTTTCCCAGTTACTGTAAGGTTTAGAAATAATGTATCTAAAGCACCCGACAAGCACATAGTCTCCTTAAGTTAAAATTAATTGAATCTCTCAGGTCAGAGCTGTCCCTATCAAACACTTAATTACAATTAGGGACTGACTGTGAACCAGAGAGGAGGGAGAAAAATCACAGGGAAAATGGAACATGAGGAATGGAAAAAAAAAAAAAAAATCATTCCTCAAAGTCTCCTTCAATGAACTACCACCTTTTCAATGAAGCCTTCCCTCTCCTCGAGTTCCCATAGCACTTAATCACATTGAAATAGGTCCTTAGCTCCGAGAATGAATGAATAATACAAAACAGATGCCAGTCGCGGTGGCTCATGCCTGTAATCTCAGCACTTTTGGAGGCCATGGCAGGCAGATCACCTGAGGTAAAGAGTTCTAGATCAGCCTTGCCAAAATGGTCTCTACTAAAAATACAAAATTAGCTGGGCATGGTGGCACATGCCTGTACTCCTAGCTACTCAGGAGGCGAGGCTGGAGAATCGCTTGAACGTGGAAGGCGGAGGTTGCAGTGAGCTGAGGTTGTGCCACTGCATTCCAGCCTGGGCGACGAGAGTGAAACTCCGTCGCAACAAACAACGAACCAGAGACAGAAACAATTTCTCACTCCCACGTAATGCAAACCACCAAGGATGCCAAATGCTCTAACCCTACAACCCTGATACAAGAGCAATGAACACTGGTAGCAGCACACTTCTTAACATCAGTGTGCCAGTACCTCTGGTGAGGATTAAGGGTAGGGTTTTTCCGCATAAAGACCTGCCACCTGAAGGTTAAACTCAGAACAGATGAAGGAAACTGAGTCCTGAAGATAGAACGCGAAGGAAGTCTTTAACTTTAGAGTCCCAGGAGTCACAGCAGGTAGTCAGGCGCACCGCCGACACTGCCAAAGGGACCAGAGTTCGCAATTCCCCACAGCAGTGGCGGAAGCTGGGGACCAGGCCAAGGAGCGACGACGCTGGCAGGGCCTTGAGCGGACTTGTCCCGGCGCCCAGGTCCCAGCCTCTGCCCGCGCGCACTGCGCGTGCGGCCCCTGCGGCTTTTGTCTCCTTCGCCGGACCGGGAACTTCCTCTGTCCCGCCCTCGGGCGCGCACACGGGAACAGGGGTAGGAAACGGAAAGCGTTTTGTGCATTTTTAACAGAGTCAACTGACGCAAAAAATAATAATAATATAATAAAATAAAATCAGCACCTAACCTCCCCAGGACCCCCCTACGGTCACCAGCTACCAACCTCCGGGCTGTCCCGGGCAGCGGCGACGGCAGCGTTCACGCGCGCCGCGAGTTCCCAACACCCCTCTTTCGGCACTTCCGAGTCCCAGCGACATCGGCGGCGGCTACGGGCTTCCCCGGGACACCACCCCCCTTGCCCCGGAGCTGCCCTTTGGAAGAGCAGCCCCGCGCGCGTCCTCCGAGCACGCCCCTGCCGCCGTGCCCGCGCCCTCCGCGCCCGGCGGCCGGACTCGGGAACCCGCGGCGCTCCCGGGGCGGTGGCGAGCAGGCCATGCAGCTGCGGGGGACCGGCCAGAGCGCGGCCTGCCTCTCCCCACCGCGTTTGCCCCGCGGTTGGCCTGGGGCCTCTAGCCCCGCTCACCCCTGGGCTGCCGGTTCCCTGACCCTGGCGTGTGTATCTCTCCCCCACCCGTGTGTTCATTGCAGGTCTGGGGCTGCCTGCAAGTTAATTGCAGAGTGGAAATCACCTGAAACTCGAGGTGGGCCGTCATTCCAACACCAGTGGTACCCACCTACGTTTTGTAAGCGAAAGGAAGTAGTTCGGTGCGGTGGAAAGAGGGCGGGCTTTGCAGCCCTGGCAGCTTCGAGGGCTTGCTGTGTGAACTCAGCTCCTGGGAGCCTGCCTGTCCACCTCTGTAAAACAGAAATAAACTTCCCTGCTTTTCCTGGTAAATTAGAGTGAAGATCAAATAGAAATAAACTTTATGAATTGTAAAGCAACTTACAGAGATCACTACTGCAAAATGGGTACGGAGATTTTGAATGCGTTGGGAAAAGCGTGGAAGATCTGAAGATGCCCCAACGGGACATAACTAGGGAGATGCTGCTCGGAGGCCTCCAAGCCTGAGCCAAGAGACAGGCTTGCCGGAGTTCCACAGACTTAGCTCAGCAGGATCACCTGGGTTCTTATTAAAACCTCGGGCTTCTGGATCCCTCCCTGAACCAAAGGAATCAGACTCTCCATGGGAGGGGCGTCTCAGGTGGTTCTATGCTGAGGTAAAGGTGGATGACTCTGCCCTAGGCAGCAGGAAAACGCAGAAGCTGTGCTCTCAGAAATTTCATCTAGCAGTAACGGTGGAGAGGATTATTTTAATGACTGTAGAACTCTCCAGGAAACCAGAATGTGAACTCTCCAAGAGCTGGAGCTATCTTTTCTTTCGGCTTCCCCGCAACCCACCCACCCCAACACCTACTACAGACTGGTGTTCAGTAAGCAGGTGCTAGTAAACTAGCCCCAAATAGGAGTGCCAGATTTAGCAAATAAAAATACAACATGCTCAATTGAAATTGAATTTCAGGCTGGGCGTGTTGGCTCTCACCTGTAATCCCCAGCACTTTGGGAGCCAAGACAGGAGGATCACTTGAGGCCAGGAGTTTGAGACCAGGCTGACCAACATGGTGAAACCCCGTCTCCACTAAAAATACAAGTATTAGCCGGGTGTGGTGGCCTGCACCTGTAATCCCAGTTACTTGGGAGGCTGAAACATGATAATCGCTTGAACCCAGGAGGCAGAGGTTGCAGTGAGCCGAGATCCCACCACCGCACTCCAACCTGGGCGACTGAGACTCTGTCTCAAAAAATAAGTAAATAATTTCAGATGAACAATATGTAATTTTTTAGTATCAGCATGACCCATGCAATATTTGGGATATACCTATGGTTTTGTTTTTGTTTTTGTTTGAAGTACTTACAGGAAGCTTGTAATCCCAGCACTTTGGAAGGCCAAGATGAGCAGATAACTTGAGTCCAGGAGTTCAAGACCAGCCTGGCCAACATGATGAAACTCCATCCCCCCCCACAAAAAAAAAAAATGACAGGGGGATGGATGCAGCAAACAACCATGGCATGTGTATACCTATGTAACAGTCCTACACGATCTGCACATGTAACCCAGAACTTAAAACATATATTAAAAAATCATTTATCTGAAATTCAAATTTAAATCCTGGGTATCTGAAAACCAAGTTTAACTGGGTATTTTATCCGGCAACTCTAGATCCAACAGTTTTATAAAACCAGGGGCTACACTTCTCAGTCTGTCTGATGGCTGCCCTGCAGTAACACTTTGTAAGAAATAAAGTCTCCTTTCTAAATGTATTAAAAATGTGTGATTTTTTTTAAAAAGCGGACACATGTCAGAATTTCCTGCCCTTTTAAAACTGATAATATTCCATTGTACATATGTCACACATTTTTTCCATTTATCTATCTATGGACTCTTGAGTTGCTTTCTTCTTTTGTGAATAATGCTGCCATGAACATGGGTATACAAACATCTCTTTGAGACCCTGCATTCAATTCTTTTGAGTACATATCCAGAAGTGAAATTGCTGAATAATATGGTAATGTTATTTTTAATTTTACAAGGAATTGCGATACTTTTTTCCATAGAGGCTGTGCCATTTTACATTCCCACCAACAGTGCAGTTTCTCATATCCTCACCAACACTTGTTATTTTTTGATTTGTTTTTATACTAGCCATTCTAATCAGTATGAGGTAGTAGCCCCTTGTAGTTTTAATTTACATTTCCCTAATGATGAGTGATGTTGGTCATCTTTAGATGTGCTTATTGGTCATTTACATATCTTCTCTGGAGAACTGTCTAATCAAGTCCTTTGCCCATTTTTAAAATTGTATTGTTTTCTTGTTAAGTTGTAGGAGTTCTTTATACATTCTGGGTATTAATCCTTCATCAAATATGTGACTTGCAAATATGTTCTCCAATCCTGTGGGTGGTCTTTTCACCCTGCTGATTGTGTTCCTTGACACACAGACATTTTAATTTTGGTGAAGTTTCATTTAACTGTTTTTTTGTTGTTGTTGCTGGTTTTTTGTTTTTGTTTTTGTTTTGTCTTTTGAAACAGGGTCTCACTTTGTCACCAAGGCTGTAGTGCATTGGCACATTCATAGCTCACTGCAGCCACCATCTCCAGGGCTCAAGCAATCCTCCTGCCTTAGCCTCTCAAGTAGGTGGGACTACCAGGATGTCCCACCATGCCCGGCTAGTTGCTTTTATCTTTCATAGATAGGAGGTTTCACTATGTCGCCCAGGCTGGTCTTGAACTACTGAGCTCAAGTGACCCTCCCACCTCAATCTCCCAAAGTGCTGAGATTACAGGCATGAGCCATCATGCCTGGCCAGTTACTGGTATTTTTAATGTCATATCCAAGCAACCCATATTTTCCTCTGAACATTTTATAGTTTTGGTTCTTATGATTAGGTGTTTGATCCATTTCAAGTTAATTTTTGTGTTTGGTGTTAGGTAAGGGTCCAGCTTCAATCTTTTGCATGTGGTGATCCAACTTTCCCAAAACCACCTGTTAAAAAGCATAAACATCTTGTAAAATGCCAGAGATTGGGGTAGAAGGAATGGATGGTAGGAAACTAAGTTCCTTTTGGAAGTGAGAAATAAGATCAATGGAGTAAACCAACATTAAAGTCTAAACACCAGGAGGAAGGTTGGGTTGGGGAGAATGTAGATGGGAGAGGAAGAAAGGGGAGATTCTGCCACCCCTTCCCCCCACCCCCCGGCCATCTTTGATGCTTCACACACAGGCAAAAGTGTCTGGACTTTGAGGATCTCTGCTTGTCTTAGAGCAGTCAGGCCTCCGAATCTTCCTGACTCGGAACCAGAGCAGACAGCCCTGAGGGGAGACATGACCGGAGATGCCTGGCTTGAAAAGCTTCAGTTCTGACTATAAGCAAAGCCAAAGAGAGTCCTCCCTGGAGTTGGGACACAAACCAGAAATAGAGTAAATAGAGCAAAATTGATGATAATTGAGGCTTAAAGGAGGGAACCAATTTGTGCCTTGGTATTGTATTTCCTTAAAAGCAAAAATACCAAAATTAGCATGTAAATGTGAGTAATTAATGGTCAATCCTCTCTATACTATTATTTTAATCATAAGACATTAATCAGGCACCTGCACTCTCTCTGACTCTCTCAGTTAGTGGGAACTAAGTATTCCACTGGGGCCTCCCATCCAGACAAGCAGACCTCAGTACCTGGTAGCAACTCTCCAGACAGCAGAACTGGTGCTTAGGAGGGATTAGCCAGGCCAATCCTCCTTTTAAGTTCAGCCATGACTCAGTCATATAATTATACACATTCAACAGAGGCATAAATGGTTGCTAAGACTTCACTGATAAAGGCTTTAAGACAAAGGATTGAATTTCTCATTACGAAGATTCACACTCAAGCAACAATGAAGAGCTATTTTGAAGGATTCAAGAAGCTACCCAACCCTGACCACCTGGCAGAGGCTCTTGTCTGTGCCACCTATAAGAATGTCTGCCCTGGGTTAGTGTGATTTTCAATAACCAGTGTTGAACTAGCATTTGTCTAGCACCAACTTTACACACAACACAAAACTGAGTATTGGGGGGGATTTTATAAAAAGTGAAAAAAGACTTGTCCTGCAGGAAGCTGCAGTCTAGCTGGGGATTCACCAGATATACACAAAACAACTGGCAAATCAGAAGTACAAATAAAAATGATACACTTCAAACTACTCATAAATGCTGAAGAATAGACTCAGATCAGTACCCTAAACTATGCAGAGTGCAATTCATTATCATTTCCTCCAAGAACGCTTCCTACGCAGGGTAAATTCAATCCCTGGAAAGATTAGTCTCTGCCCAGTCACTTCTTCTTCTATCACATGATTCTTTTACATTTTCTATAGCACTTACCACTCTCTGGACTTCTCTCATTTGTTTATATATTTATTATTTATGTCAGCATTATTCAGACTACTTGGAATATATAATACACTAGTAGATTGTAAAATAAGCTTAATGGGTCACAACTATACTTAATTTTTTTGACTCATTTTTTAGCAAAATGAAATAGAGTAGAATAAACCATCAGAATAGAATAGAAAATATGAGAACACGTCACTGGACTTTTATTAGGAATTGTGAACACTGTAAGAAACACTGCATCCAATTGGTTTGAGCGGGATTAAGAAAGCAAATAAAAGACTATGATGGGCCATGCACAGTGGTTCACACCTGTGATCACAGCGTTGAGGGAGGCGGAGGCAGGTGGATCACTTGAAGCCTAGATTTCGAGACCAGCCTGGCCAACATAGTAAAACCCCATCTTTGCAAATAAATAAATAAATAAACCAGACATGGTGGCACATGC